GGATATGGATATGGATCTGAATACTGAATTAGTTTGATACCTTTGAGGAAGGAAGGTGTTTCACAGCTACGGATGATATTGGAATACTCGAGCCAAAGTATACAGCACCTATTTTGCAATCATGGATGAAGGATCATCATGGCGGCAGCAATCAAGAATAGAATGGCACAATTATCCCTGTTCCCTCTATGTAACCCACCCGCTTCTTATTCAATGCTGTTCTTTTTTGTCATATTTTTGCTCGTTAAACATTTGCACATGCTGGTATCATACGTGCTCTTCGACTTTTTATTGAATGAAAATTGGATTCAACATAATACTTTGGGGATCGTACTATCAGCTGCAGATGTGCAAGCGTGGATTACTTGGTTATTTCTGCATTGAAGGCAATGGATATCATATATTTGGTAGGAGGTTACACAATAGGTTACACAAGTTGGTTCAGGAGTGCAGTTGCATAACTAATCGACTGATGGAATGCGCACAGACCTAATAGCTTAATTACGAGGGCTGTTCTCAATTGAAGTCTTGAGGAGCGATCATTCTTATTGAGCCAAGAGAATAGGATATTGTTGAGGTACGTATAAACAGTAATAGCTGTAGCAAGCGGGGTGGCGTGGAGTGCACAAATTGGGAAGTGGTAGGAACGACAAAGAGCCCATTCTTGTTCACTCCCCATTCACAAAAAAAAGGTAAGCTGTCTCCATTTACAAACTACAACGTGTTAACTGCTGGCATTCCTTACAATGTACAGCGCGTTTGGGGTGAACATGTGGTTAATGGCGACACTGTCCAGTTGCAGGCATTCTACAACAAGTACGCGCGCGATCTGCCCATGACTCAAGCTTCCATTGCAATACAACATGTACGTTCAATCGCTGCATTACTTTATTATTCAAGTTGGACATTGAGATACTAAAGTTCACTTGTAGGTTGATGTTCTCACGTTATACAAGTTCCAAAGGGGGCGTCGTGTGTCGTGTGTGTTCTTTTCATGGTTGTCATCAAGGAGACATTGTTACTTTGGGTATGTCGACATGAAAAGCGAATGCTATCCTTGTTACCTTACATTGCATTTACTGTAGCTTGAATACGCTGGATGATGGTACCTGTGACAGCAACAACAAGACATTGATATCAAAGCAAGAACGCTGTACGTTGGCTCAATGGTATGCATGGTGTTTGATCTACAATGCAGGACCATTTAATTAACGTGCCTTACAATACAAATGCAGCAGCACATACTGGATCGGATGGATACAAGGTTATTTGCAAGCATCAATGGAATGGTATTGGGAATACCACAAGGTAAGAGGTTCATTGTGGGATTGGTTGGATTCAAGTGGACTTACCAAACACCATACAGTGGCAGGGCCTCTTTCGGCGATACTATTATTATCAAGGCTGCACGTCAAGGATGTCATTGTATAGTACTGTGCTCTCCTGGGGAATTTTGGCCCGGAAACAGTGTAACTCAAGATGCGATGGCAAGGCCAATTTGAAAAGGCATCCGCTGTGCACACGGCCTCCATCCAAGTACGGCCATTGATTTCCTTGCCTACAGAGAGAAGGTGGATATCTCTTATGATGCCAATTTCAGGATCCAATGAGAGTATGGTACATATGGTGGCATACCTTGGCGCTGCAGGTTGATTATTGTATTGCCTTCGGATGGTGTATTTGGTTGCAGTTCCTTGTGATCACCATGGTTCAGGGCGTCGTGTGTCTTCCTTACCGAGTTGTCCACAATGAGAGTTCTCAAGACGTCTTCACATTGCCTCTTTTGGGTATGCTGACAACAAAAGCGTGTGGGTTGGTTTTACTTGTTATCTCACATTGCGTTTATGGTAGGTTGAACATGTTGGATGATGGTACCTCTGGCAGCAACAGGATACGGATCTCAAAGCAAGAAGGCTGTATGGTTGGCTCAATGGTATGCATGGTATTGGATCTACAATGCAGGACACTTAATTAACGTGCCTTACAATGAAACAGCAACAAGACAATATGGATGACATGGAGATACGGTTTTATTTGAGGCAATGATGCTATTGAGAAATACCACAAGGTAAGAGTGTTCATTGTGGGATTGGTTGGATTCAAGTGAACTTACCAAACGCCATACAGCGGCAGGGCCTCTTTCGGCGATACTAGTATTATCAAGGCTGCACGTCAAGGATGTCATTGTACTACACTTTCCTGTGGAGCTCTACATGTTGTGCCCGGGGACAGTGCGACTCATGTTGCGGCCTCAGGGATTTAAAAATGCATCCTCTGTTCGCACGGCTCCATCGTTTTACGGCTATTGATCTCCTTGCCCTTAGAGAGAAGATGGGTATCTCTATTGATGCACTTCATCGCGTCGATCCACAGGAGAGTGCCGGTACTATGACGTTTCTTTGGCTGTGCGCTTTTATTATTACTATACATCCTGATGGCCTATTTGGTTCCCAAGTCTGCGGGTGATGATTGCGTGATTCAGGTATGTATGACTCTCATGCTTTTTGGCGACCTTTGCTGAAACGCCTACCATTATTATTTAGAGGGACCATTGCAGAGAGCTACTTGTCTTTTGGTGCTTTGGAGCTTACAAGATCACAGCTATGATTGCTAAGTATTTATTCGATGGGTTTGGAAAATCGTTTACATACCATGCATCTTTTATACGTAGGTGAATCATGTCAGCAATCGGGAAAAGTGCGTTTATCTCTGGTGTCATCAAATCTTTATTTCATTTCTGGTGGTTGGTTACCAAGCAACGGGCGATTTCTCTGAAGAGTGTCCGCCAATGCAAGTCTCTTGTGAGTGGATTGTATCAGCAACAAGTAACAGCATCCATATCGTTGGTTCCATATCAAGCTTTATCCCATCATCTGGTTTTCTCGTTATCGGCAATTCGGTGGGCATCCTGAAATGAAGGTCTCTTATCGATTGGTCACATCAGCAACAAGGAACAACTTGTATATCTTTGATATCAGCAAGCTTTCTATCTCTTGGTGGTTCTGGTTATTGGCAATTCCTTTGATGGATCTCTACAACTATACGTGTCTTATGGATGGATCATGTCATCAACAAGAAGTGAAGGCCCGCGTTCAAATCTTTTGTGTTACCAAGGTCATTCATGCATCTCGTCAAGGACTCCATCGTCAAGCTGCATTCCATACCCAATGAAAAAGATTGGCGTCTCATTCCTATCGGCTATATCACTGAGTGTACTCCCTTCCGCAGCTAGGATGCTGGTTTGGGCTTTTCGATTGATGATTTTTCGATTTGCATGTGGTCTTGGGCAGCACATTGGTTCGTTCTCGCTCCTTGCAAGGACTCTTCGGCATCATGTAAGTATGCTATCGTTGGTGGCACAAGTATTACTCAACCTTCTCACTGTATATTCCTATCAAGTATCGTTCCATCGCTTACAACCCGAGTACCAACATAGCGGTCTTATCAACAAGAGAATGATTGCAAGGATCGGCTTGATATGGATATCAGCAGGATTTCGTGCATACATGTGTATCATTGGGTAAATAGTGATCCATTCGTTTCTACAACACCTGCCAACCTCTTCGTTTATTATAGTATGTGGTCTTTTCAGCAAGCTACTTGTCTTCTGTTGCATTGGGATTTCTATGGATGCAGCTGTCATTGGATGCAACATGTTTTCGTGCGTATGGCTATCATTGGTAAATGATGATCCGTTCTCTTCTTCAACCCCAACCAACCTCCCCTTTTATTATAGTATGCGGGCTATTCAGCAAGCTACTTATCTTCTGGAGCATTGGGGTTTCTATGGGTGCAGCTGTCATTGGATGTTAACGTGTTTTCGTGCATATGGATATCATTGGTAAATGGTGATCCGTTCACTTCTTCAACGCCTGCCAACCTTCTCCTTTATTATAGTATGTGGTCTATTCGGCAAGCCACTTGTTTTCTGGTCCTTTGGAATTTTCATGCATGAAGCTGTGTTGGTAAATAATGATCCATTCTTTCTTTCAACGCCTACTAACTCCCTCTTTCATGTGGGTTATTCAGCGAGCTACTTGTCTTGTGTCCTTTGGATTCTTGATGGATACAGCTATCATTGGATGTCGACAAGGTTTTATTCATATGGCTACCATTGGTACTTGATGATCGATTCGTTCCTCTGATATCGTACACATCCTTTTGACACAGCGTTTTCAATTTCAAGCGTGAGATCCCACATTCTCGTACGTATATCAAGGACGGCGTCAGGACCACTAGGATGAAGATACTTATATCGATGGTGGATCTTTAGCGTAGTTATCATTTTTACTATTCTTGTACCGCGCGCGTATACACACTTTTATCCCCCACACACTATCTTTGTCTTTGGTATGTCATCTTTTATTGCAAACCGCGTATTTGTGCCAGCTTCCATTGTATACTTATCCCCTTTTGTTTTGTACTTGTGTGTATAGACACGCAACAGTTCACGACCCTATAACAATAATGGATGCTTTCCCTTGTTGTGAGCGTACAGTAGAGGTCCCCCTATGATAGCTTGTATTCACCCACATCTTGCACATACAAGCGGCTAGTAGGATCCTCTTCTAGATTATATCTTAAATCCCGATCTCATTCAATAAAAGTCGAAGAATGGCACATGGTATGTATTGTGGATGTTTATGAGAAAATATGATCGCAAATTGCTACTTTATTGTGGTAGGATTCATTTCGCTGATGTGCTCTTTTCTCTTTAAGATCCTCCTTTGCTGGCTAGGCATGTTGGTGTCAATGAACACCACGTCGTCCGAGGGCTGCTGCTTGTGCCATGACATGATGTCGTATACAGCTTCTACGACTCCCATCTTGCGCCCTCTGAAATGGACCTTCACCTGATCTACATTGCATCGTTGTCCAAGATCTCGTGATCTCTGCCAGTATCGGACTTGGTCAAGTACTTGTAAAGGTAGGAGAGAGTATGGTACTCCCTGTTGAGTTGAATATCCATGTTGCACCTGGTGAGCGCGAGCAAGTAGGGATTAGAGGGATTCACAAGAGATTGAGTGCATCCCTAGGATACTGCCAATTCTTGCCATCGAATGTAGCCTCACTCGTAATGGTCTGCTGAGGATAGCCAAACCTGCACCGACACCAGGGGCAGAACAGTAACTTGAGCACCTGTGGACCTGATGCTGGTTGACTAGACTTCGCATAGGGTCACCTTGTTCAGGCAACTTTGCTGTGATGAGGTTGGCCCTGGCTAGTTGCTCATCCGCCTTTCCAGTCCAAAGGTTCATACGTATATGTGGCGAACATCTAGCTTGTAATTCCATCACCCAGAAGTAATGATTGATGCCACCAACTCGTCCTGTCCAAGCTTTGCGAAGGGCTTGCTCCATCACCAAAAAGCAGTGCTTGATACCGCCAACTCGTTTTGCCCAAGCTTTGCGAAGGACTTGCTCCCTCACCTGAAGCCACTTGTGCTGAAAATGAAGGCTGAAGAGGACTGGATCATCCCAAGGTTCCAATGAATGGCTGCGTTCGGTGAACCCCATACGTTAATGAGATACGGCTGGTGAATCACATGACGCCAATAGGGAAAACATGTCTTTGTGTTCTTGTTGCCGCCATAATCATGCTTCATCCATGATTGCAAAATAGCTGCTGTGTGCATAACTCGATTGTTCCAATATCATCCATGGCTGTAAACACCCTTCGTCAATGCCATCCCATCCATCGACATCCTCAGCCGTATCCACGTGATATGATTAGTCGTACCTGCTGCCAACGCGACAAGTAACCACCATGATCCACATCACTGCATTGATTGATTCCATCCACCATAACCATTCCAAATCCGATACGCTGATAGAAAAACGCCCCCGAGAAGATTACTTGTGTTGGAACGTTGTTGATTGCTGTACGGTGTCATCCAAACTAGACATCACGTTCTACATGGACCAAGAAAACCAATTCGGTCAATGCATCCATTCCTTCCATCCCATGTATCAGAGCAATGCAGTATTCAGATACATACCCATATACATAGGAATTCATATATATTGAAGCACGTTGCTACACGTCAATAAAGCTGCTTGTATACAATGGCTATCTGCTGCCCACGAAACAAAGGCTGTAAAGGCAAGTTGCTGCAAGTATCGGGCGCTGTTGGAGATGACGCAGTAAAGAGCTTGCTAATGGCAGCTGCTGGAATGAGCATTGTACATTTGATTGTGGCGGAGGAATGTGCAAGAGCATGTGAAGTATCAAGGAAGGGAGGTGTTGTAGTCGAGTGATAAGAAGGATGTGTATACGCCATACACTTGCCATTCAGTCAAAGGCAATCGGATCAAGGCAATCGTAGGATCGACATGATGGGTTAAAACAGGACAATCGTTCGCAGGTGGTAGTTGTATACTTGAATGAGGCAACAGTTGAGAATGGGTGGAAGAGGGAAGAAGTTGAGAGTGGGATGAAGTGGAAATTAAATTGGTGGTCAGGCACTACCCTACAAATCCATGGACACTGGAAGTTAAATCTTGATTATGAGATTGCTCTTGGACATGCTGATCAATTCGTTCTCCAAAAGACCCCATGCTTTCATTATAAGATATTGAATGGGAAGGTGCAATGTGGGATTTACTACGTAAGTCGGAAATGCAGGTCCCTTTTTCGAACTTGAAAATTGGTTAGATGGTGCTCTTAGACATGCTGATCAAGTCTATTCAAATAAAAACCACAAACTTCAGTATGAGATTTTTCCATGCGGGTGGTGCAAATGTAGGAGAGACGATGTCCCGCACGGAAATTTAAGTATGGCGGACGGCCCATGATCTTGAGATTGCCCACCTCCATCCCGAAACTTACATACAAGGTACTATCAGCCACACTGAGTAGTTTCGTTCTCATAAAGGCATCACGCTTGATTGCAAACTTTTGATATATGGGCCTCTTTATGTGTATAAGCGTGATGGAGCTGCTTCCTGTAATGGATGGTGTCGAGAGCACTATAAGCATCAAGCCACGAGATGGTTACACATTCATCGTTGACAGGTTGCTGTATGAAAATGGGATGATGATTACCTTTAGGAAGGTAAGTAAACAGCATGCAATAAAGAAGGTGCATCAAAGTATCATGCGTATGACAACTATTGGTCCCATATGCCATATCACATTGGGATGTAGATGGCAAGCTGCATACGTAAACCAATTTTCATAAACCCCATCAATTCAATGCACGCCAAAATGACAGGAGGAGCTATTGATTGATCACTCGCGTTCCCGGTTGAGGTCAACCGGCTTTTTATTGTATCAGAAAGACGTCTATATCTTACGAGACCGATAACGAGACCGTTAGTATTGTATCATCTAAGCTCTAATCCACCAGTGATATGATTGTAAACGATGCTTTACTCTAGCTACTAATTGGCAGCGTGCTCGTCTTTCATCCATCGCAGTTGTCGTGTTCATGAGAACTTTATCATCCAAGGCATTTGTCACATGACGTGATTGACTCCGTCAACCTGCACGAGAGACCATTTTAATCCACCTCTTTCCTTCTTCCCTCCTCTCTTTCTCTCCCTCTCTCTCTCCCTCCCTCACACAGACTGCTCTATCGGCATGGAAAGCATGGATGATGTCTTAAAGCAAATACGCTCAGGTCTCACTGATACAAGTTCTGCACTCCTTAATTGGAAAGCAAGTTACCTCGCGCTATCCTCCATTGTCAAAGGAGTAGAGTCTCAAGCAAGGGCACAAAACAAACCGGTCATCACCAGTCTGATCAACAAGTATAAGGACCATATCGACACCTATCTTCAAAAGGCAAAGGATGACATTGAACAAGCTGAGAAAATCATGGAAGAAGAATGGAAAATACTTGAAAGCGCAGAGCATGATTCTACTACAATGATGGATTGTTTATGTGAACCGAAGACAACGTAAGGGTATGGGATAATGTGTATGTGACACAAATGGAAACAAGGATTAAGATGTCAAAAGGCTGATGTGTGATGACATGGCCGAGGATCTGAAGAAAATCATCCAAGGGCTACAGGAATGTTTTCTCGAGGATCATCATCATCAAGGCAAGTATCCAATGAGTGAGTGATCACATGACATCATTCTTTGGCACTTACAAGCCACGTATACAATAGCAGATGATAAGAAAGAAGCAAATCACAAAGAGGACAAGTGATGGATATAGCTAGTTATGCGTGTATTGATAAAAGGGGGAAGAGGATTGATCATGGGCGGGGATCTTGATAAAGAATGAAAATACGCGTGAAGATGTGTGGAGTCTAAAACAAACGCGAAGGACGCGACCTGAGCTACACATTTTTGACAGTGTTCCTTTTCTTTACATATCACACACTCTCTTTATGAACCACAATTACACCAAGCCCAGCACACCCAACAAGTCAAGTGGAAGCAAACAAAGTCTATTCAACTACTTTCGAAAGGTCAGCCATGACAATGACAAGCAACCATCACCGAGCACACCAAAGCCAACAGCCAATGCCAAAGCCTTTATCGAATTGACTGAGGATGACGATCTCATTATGCTTGACGACAAGCCAAAGGCATCAACAATAACGCTTGGTCGTAGCAACAGCAGTATCAAGAAGCAACAAAACAACAACGCTGGCCATGATAAACAAGGCTTTATCAGCAGTGGGATGTTGAAGAGTATCTCGACCACACCATCATCAACAGTGAATACCAGCTACAAGGGAAGGCCCAACTTTTCTAGTCTTACAGCTCACAACGACCCTTTGTCATCATCGGCAATCACTAGCAACAACCGAGTGACGCCTATCAAACGCACTGCACCGATATCACGTGCTTCAGGTCTTGATTTGACACAGCACAATTCACAATCACAAAAGAGTTGGTCGGTGGGTGCATGGAAAGCGACAGCTACCAACAATGCCACGCCATTCAAATCAGCATATGACAATCCAAAACGCCCTCGTTATACCTTGGATCAACCGGATTATTCGAAGCAACAACGTCGTGTATTACCAACATCCTTTGATCAGCTACGTTCTAAGCACTTGTATAATGGCAAAGACAATGCACGCATGGGTGATCTTGCCTCCACTTCGTATCAATCACGTTCAACGACATCCTCCTCCTCCTCTTCCTCCGCTTCCTCCTACAATAAGAATTATTCCTCGTCACGATCATCATCATCGCCAAAACCACCCAGCGCCAGCAATCAATCAGCACCCAAATTGTCACCGGAGCAACAGCACGTATTCGACATTGTTGTGAATGCCAGGCAAAGCGTCTTTTTTACAGGCTCGGCTGGTAAGGATATACAATCTGGATGGGATTGACACGGCCTTCTTTGTTAACTTGTTACAAACCAGGTACGGGCAAATCGGTTTTGTTACGAGGTAAATCAAGAAGAATTCAAGTTGTCAAAGGGGAATCATGCAACTCATCATGTTTATTAGCCATCATTGAAAAGCTTCGATCCATTCATGGTACGGGTGTGGCGGTCACAGCATCAACAGGCATTGCTGCTTGTAACATTTCTGGATGCACTCTACACAGGTAGGTTGGGGGGAAATTAATGCATCATGAGTAAGCATGATCACTCATCACCGTCGTCATGTTGTAGTTTTTCAGGCATTGGATTAGGAAAAGAGAGTGCCTCGGTTTTGGCTGAAAAGGTGATGTCCATCAAGAAGAAAAAGGAAAACTGGATCAATACAAGAGTGTTAATCATTGATGAGAGTAAGTTTTTGTTTTCATTATTCAATGTATCCATATATCTCACTGCTCTCTAGTTTCTATGGTGGATGGACAACTCTTTGACAAGATTGAATATGTTGCTCGGGCAGTGCGTCAAAATAGTGCTCCTTTTGGTGGTCTTCAGGTAATAACAGGACCCTTTCATGCCAATGCGTATATATATTCATGATTTCCTTAGGTGGTGATCACAGGTGATTTCTTCCAATTACCACCGGTGAGCGGCAAAGGTGGTCCACCAGCTCGTTTTGCATTTGAAGCCGAGACATGGAATTCCGTTGTCAAGCGAACCATCATGCTGAAGCAAGTCTTTCGTCAAAAGGATGAGAGTAAGTAGGACTTTTATTTTTTTCTTCTCCTATGTATACTAACTCGATACTATTGTAGCCTTTGTCAAGATCCTTAATGAAATGCGTGTTGGCAAGCTATCACCCGAAGCACTTTCTACCTTCCAATCTCTTGCACGTTTACCGGATTCGCATTCCAAGCTTAAGCCTACTGAACTTTATCCATTGAGGGACAGCGTAAATTCAGCCAATCGAACGCGTCTTGAAAGCTTGCCAGGTGAACCCATTGTCTTTACAGCACGTGATTATGGCAGGGTGAATGCGGATCATTTCATGGCTCCCGATGTGCTTCATCTCAAAGTCAACGCCCAAGTCATGCTTTTGAAGAATATGGATCAAACTTTGGTAAATGGGTCTATGGGTATCGTCAAAGGATTTGCTGGTGAAGGCATCTATGCGGATCCCAAAAAGGTGAAGCGTTACTTGCTACCCAACAAGTACCAAGGTCAACAAGAAGAAGAGCCTGATGTGGATGGCATGATGCGTCGAAAGCTTCCTATTGTGGAATTCATGAATGGGCGTACGATCGTGATCGACAATGAATCATGGTCCATTGAAATGCCAAGTAAGGAACAAGCCAAATAGAGGTTCATTGTGGTTACTCATTGTTGCAAAAAATAGATGGTGAAATTGTAGCTTCAAGAACTCAACTTCCATTGATGCTTGCATGGGCCATGTCTATACACAAGAGTCAAGGACAAACATTGGATAGTGTCAGGGTTGATTTGGGCAAGGCATTTGAAAAGGGACAGGCCTATGTGGCTCTTTCTCGTGCGACATCACTTGAATCATTGCAAATTGTCAATTTCAATCCATCCGTGGTCATGTGTCATCCAAAGGTCACTCAATTTTACAAGCTCATTGAAGGCATGACATGATGTATTCTTTCTCCTACACACACACGCACACACACATGCTCTCTCCATTTATTTCATACAAGAGTACACATTTTCCCATGTAGCTAGTTTCTGCTTTTCTAGTACTAGTTGACTTTTGGCATATTCCCTAATTGCATTGATCATATCTGAAGCAAGCTGGGGCTTGTACCGATACTCCAAATCTCGATCATAATTGCCATCAATTCGTTCATACTTTTGCAGTGCATTTTGCTCTATTCGTCGTGCCTAGTAGGATATTGAAATCAGCATTGCGTCTGTGGGGTGGCCCTCTGCGTTCATGTACAACATACCTCTTCCAGCTCTGCAATAGCATCACTTGCTCTTTCTCTATCAATGCTTGAGGAGGATTTGAGTCGTTCCACGTTGCGTAAACTTGACTCTGTACGCTTTCGACTGATGAAGTAATCCGAGAGTACAGCAAGACGCCGTTCCATGATGTTTTGTGCATTTTCAGCATTGCTGATTTGATAAGTAATCTCATCCCGCAGGGTATCCGTTGCAGCCATATCCTAAATAAACACATGTTATCCACACATGGATTCCTATGGCAACAACACTACTACTACTACTTGCCTGCAACAATTCAAGATGATGTACTTGCTGACAGCCTTTTGCAATGTTCTTGTATAATCTAAATGTATCAAAAAAAAGGCGAGTGAGTGAGTGAAGGAAAAAAGGCAAAAGGATCACCTTACATGAATAATTCAGGATCCCGTTCTATTCCACCATAGGCTACCCATGCAGATGCCAAGTCGCTCCATACGCTCGTGTTGCCTCGGGATGGCCATGCCGTTTCAAGTTGCACCAAACACGTCCGAAATGTGTTGATGTGGTCGTTCAAGTGCCAAAACTCTGGTTCAAGATCATCGTGATTGATGGATGTTCTTCTTTTATGTCGTTTCACCTTTTTCCTTCGTTGAGGTCGAAACTATACATGTGTCATAGAGAATCAGTGTTTAGGATCATTTCTACTCTCTCTCTCTCCCTGCCTCCTCATGTCCAAATACACTTGCATTGAAAAAGCCGAGAAAGGAAAATAAAAGAGGAGAATGACCTAGTAGCTTACCTACCCCAACTTCACTCTCTACAAATTCACGTAGCCCTTCACTTTGTTGGACTCGTTCATGATCAGCTATGCGGTCGAGCCAATGTTGTATCTTGATATCGGGTGTCGGCAACTCGTCGCCATGGTGTTGCTGCTGCTGCTGCTGTTGGTACCACCAGTAACGACTCAGCAACCGACCCTGGCGATCGTACCTCGGCTGAGGGCACGGAGGCAAGACTGGTATATAAGCATCATCCAACGTTGCCAATAAATGGTCATGCAGACGTTCCAATTCACTGTAATATCGAGGAATGCGTCGTGTCTTGTGCTTGTACTTGATTAAGGTGGTCTATACTCTCCGGGTCAACTATGCGATCCGACAACTTGCCATTCAATAAAAAGAAACAACGACTCACAATGGCCTCAATCCAAAAGACGGGATCTTTACGATTGTAGTCGACCGTGGTAATATTGAATATCAAGGGCGTATCATGTTGCTGTTCATGGTTGTGATAGTCCATATTGCTTAGAGTGTAAAACAAAGAAAGAGTGTAGCGAGTGTCTTTGTTGGAAAAAACAGGTTGCTTGCTGCTGCATCCAAACAGCCAAGCGATACGAGAGAAAAGAAAAGGATAATGCAGATGTGTAGGAAAAAGAAGCGGTGTTTTCCCGCACACGTTCGTGTCCACATGTTTAATCTTTCTCATCTCCCTTCTCATGGATTATTCCCTCCGGTGTCACGAGATAGCAACTACTATTCCTCATCTTGCTAATAAAGAGCAACATAGCAACCCAATTCATATGGGATAGGATTTGACAATGAAAATGGTAAAAGGAATTTGAGAGCGATAAAGAAAAACCTGCATGATGCAATCGACCCACCAGGGACATCTAGTGAAAAGTACTCCAATGAATCATCGATACTCAATTTCATTATAGCATCAATGCATGCATGAAAGCTCAACTGAGTTTATTGACAGTGACAACTTGCTTGCATCCAATTGGGTGTCATCAACAAAAGAACACTCAAGGCATCTTAAGATCCTTAGTCAAAGTGGGCTACAACGTACAAAGATTAACCGGTTACATCATCTTTTTTCATTGCTATGACGCTGACAACAACAATTGTTACATGAAGCCAGCCGAAATTCAGTGCTAGCCTTCACTTTATTGTAGTTGTTCAACCAAGGTAAATGCTACCACGTATCAACAGGGCCACCACATTATGCATTGTATAAGAACCTATCCGATGATGACTCCTGCCCACCATGGCTAATCTACACTCACAACATGTTGTTATCGATCGACAAATATAAAATGCAAGCAAAACATTGTTACAAATTTGTTGAGCGTGTGGATGCGATATCAAACTTAAATATCAAATATGGGGTGAGAAAATAAAGAAGGGAATGAACACAATGAGAAGGTGGGGGGAATATGAGAATTGAACATGGTGAGAGATTGGGGGGAATGAAACACCTTTAACCAAACATATCTTGTCCTTGATCCTCTAATCCATGCACACCAAAGTCGATAATCTCAAAGGACGTAACATTGTCTCTGTGATCATCCAAGTATCAGCAAAATCCCATCCCAGCACAACACGCCAATCCATCCATCCATCCATCATCCTACCTGTGTACAGCAGCCACGCATCGACGTTTGTCAAATGCCACACGCCATACGCCATCAACGCCAGTAATAAGATCACGAATCAAGTGACCTGTTTTGATATCCCACATCTTGATCCCACCTTCTGAACCAGAAATGACGGCGTTTTCATTATGCTGGAAGCAAGTAATGGCACCTCGATGACCCCAGAGGACTTGACGACATGTACCTGTTTCAGGGCACCATATACGTAATGTGGAATCGGCCGCTGCAGAGACAAGATAGTTGGGAGTGATCCCTAGTAAGCCCACTAGGATCGAATGGCCTTCCAAGACACGTAAGCAATGACCATGTTCCATATCCCAAATGCGTACAGTGCTATCCATGCTACCACTCATGCATCGTTGACGTTCAGGATCGATGACCACGGAATAGACTTTTTGCACGTGACCTCCCATGCGATGGATCAAGCGACCTTGTTGGATATCCCAAATGCAAACGGTACAATCATAGCTGCCACTCACGAGCTTATTGCCATGTGCTGCTAAGGCCCTTACTGATTGTTCATGGCCTGTCAAGGTGTGGATGAACCAACGATTGACACCTGAGCCATAGAATGTTTCATTGCTGCGTTCCACATCCGGTAATCGCCACACACGTAAGGTTGAATCGCGTGATCCTGTCACGATCAGGGGTACACTAGGCTCCATGCGACCATTCACAAGCGTGGGTTGAACAATTTGCAAGCATCGTACGGTGGATGAATGACCTTGGAATACATGGGTGCATAGCCCTTTGCGAATATCCCATACACGCACGGTGCGATCGGTGGATCCACTCACCAAGGTATTGTTGTAGTATTGCAATGCCCATACACCACCATCATGCCCCGATAATGTATGCATGCGACGCCCTGTGCGTGTGTCATAAATGTTGATGCTGTGATCGTCGGCGCCTGTAATGATCTTGTCGTCGTCAAATTGTAAACATGTCACCACTGTATCGGGAGGGGGGCCTTCGAACCTTGTACGCTTGAATCTTCCTTTGCGCCAGTTTTGTTGTAGGGTATATTGGTGTCGATACAATTCCTTGTATGGATTAGGATGTCGTCGTGGTTGTTGTTGTTGTTGTTGTGATTTGTTACTGCCAAAGTCGAGATCAATCTCCATCCTTGATGTGGTGGTGCTGCTATTACTGCCATGAAGTGGATAACAATCAGCTCCGTACCATGCTTGACGCCATTGAATATGTGCATTCGCATGTTGTTCATCATCATCATGATGCTGATCCTCCTCCTCCTCTTGTTGCTGTTGCTGTTCTTCTTCTTCTCCAGTATCCATCGAATGATCATTGTAACCAAGCTCGCTATCAAGCACGGATCCAAACGAGTAGGTATCATCGTCATCTTCCTCATCTTCATCCACTGGATCATATTCGAAACCATCCTTGTCCAATAATCGTCTCCATGTGTTGGCATCCGAATCAATCACTGAACGCCATTTACGACTCACGCAAGCTGCTCTGCATAGTGACAAGGCATCCAGATGGCTAATGACATTCAAGGCAAGTTCCAAAGGTAATGAAGCCAAAAAGTCGCGTTTCAATGCTGGGACAATCATGGAATTGACGAATTGAAGAGTGCTGGTGGATGATCGTTTTAAGAGCTGGAACATGATATAACTTTTCATCTCCAATGATAAAGAATCGTATGCATGAATCATGTCTGGTAATTGTCGTAGTATATCAGTTGTGTTATCGTATTCGTCATCTTCATGATGAGAGGGCGAAGGCATTGCGTATTGATCGATATGATAGAATACGTTGTTGCTGTTGTTGTTGTCATGTAATAACAAGTCCAATTTTGCACGTTTATGGTTGTATCCATCTTCGGTCGATGATGCTGATGCTGTTGATGACGCGGTATCAATGTTGGGAACTGTGTGCAACATGGAGGAGGATGAATTTCGCCGCTTTGTGGTATAACCCTATCATTCCCAATTTCCAGTCTTAGACACATACATATACAGCTGACCTTTGGACATGCGCACGCATAAAAAATCCTAAACCAGGCACTCCCCACCCCCACCCCCATCCCATCCCATCCCATCCATCACTAGGGCTATTGTTACTATCTCTCACTCACCTTTGTAGTGGTATTGCGTAGAGTGTGTGGTTTAAGACTAGGTGGTGTCATTGCTGATGATAATGGATAGCGATTATGTGCTCGAGTGACCAAAGCAGTTGTGTTGTTGGTGGTGGAAGTGGTGGTGGAATCGGTCACGGGAGGAGTGAGCGACATTAAGGATGTGGCTGCAAAGGGGTTGGAATTGGATGGCAGTGGTGAATGCTGGGAAGTGGATGAGTTCGATTGCATGGTAAAGTCCAAAGTGATATATACAGAATAAATGACTCAAAGATGCTGAAGGACAATAGAGAGAGAGAGAGCAAAAAAACGAAAACAGGGCAAAGTATGAGAGAGCGAGAGAGAGATCGGTATACAGCGTGCAAGCAAATGATAAAACAAGAGTGGAATAAACGATTCCCACTGCATCCACAGTCAGCGGGCAATGACAAGAACCGAGCAAGAAAAAAGGCTTTTCAAGCTTGAAAAGAGTAGAGGGGAAATGGGGAATGCGAGAGAGGAACAAGATACGAAAAGAAACAGGGTAAAGCACACACACAAAAGGAAGGGGCTTGGAACGCGGGTACTTGAAGCCGATCTTACCTATCAGCGCCTGTAGGTGGTACACTGCCCTCCATGACATCTCAGCAACTACTACTACTACTGCCTACATCTGTCAAACATCTTTCTCCATAGCAGCGTATCATCCATTACCTTACACGTGATCTCCCATCCTATGATCTCGCCTATCTTAGCTTTCGTTTCATGATTTGATCCTACATTTTTATTCGATGTTTCATTCGAGATACACCCTCGAGGGATGCATACCGTACATTATCATTCAGCTATGGCCATTACAATCCTCATCATCGTTCATTTTATTCATGTATCAATTGTTGCCACGGCATCATGTTGTCTATGTTGGGATGACTCTACTCTTGTACAACATCCTTGAGCTCATGTCGTTGGATCTATTAAGTATGCTGAACTCCATTACAATGATATACAGAAGGGATGTAGAGAGAGGGGAGCTATAGACATTCTTCTAATACACGCTGGCGATCAATAATATCATGTCATTGAACTTGTTTGGGGTTACTGCTTGGATGTACGAGGAATGGGGTGATCCAACATTCGATTACGATAAAAAGGAGGGAGGCATTTACCACGAAATGATATAGGATACATAGCCTTGTGTCACGTCAACATCACGCTGTGATTGATGAAGCTTTTCTTATGTCCTTCTCTTATGCATGTTCAAACGCCTCGGGATAGTGTACATTTTTGGCTAATAGAAACCTTTACTATTGTTGTATAGAAGTTGGAAGTGAAAGAGGTACATTATCCCAGCATTAATGTGGCATCTCATGGTTCATTGATATGATTTTAGGATCAAAAGCAAGATGTTTATTATTATGATGGATGAGGAAATACTTGAATGCAAGAAGGAAGATATTCATTATCCAATGTTGTGCATGGATGTGTCACCCAAGTGCTATATCTGGTTATCGGAAGATGGAATCTATCGGCATGTCCCACACAAGTAACTCAGGGCTCCTGCTGCTGCTCTTATCATCTCTTCCCTTGGACAGCCCAAGGTTCAAGCATACACACACGCACACACGCACATACTGTGACACGTACTCGAGTCCCTTCTTCTCGTCTCCAAAACTGGACGCTTCAGTGTGAACAATGCCCCATCGTTATTTTTGCCATGCCTGTCAAGCGTATCAAGAAGTGGTCATGGCACCCATGCCTACGTGCTCGGTTTGTCATTCCCAGTTTGTTGAACAAGTGAGCCCATTTTCTTTCTAGTGCTGGCGACCCTTCGTGTTGACTCTTTTTATATCAGACGTCATCGCAAGAAGCAACGGCTACGACCCATGTCGACATTGACAACGATTTGAGTGAACGCTTAAATCACACCACACTCGGTGAAGCACCTCATTCTCCTCGTACCCAGCAAGAAGAAGCCGCCAGCACCAGTGATACGGACGATGACGATGATGATGAGATTTACACGGATGATGAAGATGAAGATTATGAAGACATCGACAGCGACGATGATTATGAAGATGAGGATGACGATTATGATGAAGAAGATGAGATATCAGCTTTTATTGAGAGTCATCATCGGCATGAATCCCGGCATCATCATCATTTCTACGATCAAGATGAATGGGATTATGAGTTGGATCGATACTACGACGATATTCTTGGTTACAATCATGCAAATGACTTTTATGATGGCGTTGATGATATCGCTCCACAATGGTCGAGGCAAGTACATGCTACTGTCAACCCCGATCAAGAGGCATTCGTATTCATAGGGTTCTTTCCACAGCTATTTCGCCAATCATTTGGATATAGATGAAAGTAACCGGCATTGGGAAAGCTTTCTACGAGCCATGTTTTGGCCAAATGAAGAGTAAGTCAATTGCGTAATCATCAATGTTTGCATCCATATCACTAACCTGTTTTATTACATGATGTAGTCAAGATCGTCCTGCGCCAGCAAACCAAAATGATATTGATCAATTGGATAAACGACAACTCAATGAGGGAGATGCAGGTAAACCTTGGAAGGAAAAATAGAGCTTGGAAACTAAACGGGCCTATTTAACAATAGATGCCGACATTGAATGCAGCATTTGTCAAGAAAACTTTGGCGTGAACAATGAGATATTGACCCTGCCATGCAAGCATGAATACCATGGATTGTGCATTCGACGTTGGCTCCAAGTCAGTGCAACCTGCCCAATGTGGTAAGTTGATCGAGAAAGAGGTGGAGGTTATCAAACAAGGTGATTGATCATGATGTTACTACAACATACTAGTCGATCTACCATCATTTCGGAAGCAGAAAGCCAACGACGACGACAACAAGAGCAACCTCAAATTACTTCTCATCCCAACAACTTGGGTGGTCGCACGTTTACTTTCACTTCACCTGATCGACGTCATGCTATTGGCATCATGGTGGCAGACGTGACCTCTTTACCCTATCCACCTTATCCTGAGGACGATGTTGATTATTATGAAGATTATGATGGATTAGAAGATGAATACGAGGAGGAGGATGAATACTATGATTCAGGAGAAGACGACGAAGAGGAGGAGGAAGAAGACCCATGGGATCAAGTGGATCGACAAGAGCCGATATCCCGCCATGGATGGAGACATCATCATCATCACAACACTACACGTGGGCCAATGTTTATATGTCCTCATGGCCATCTTATTCCCGGTTTCAATCGACTACGACCACGAGCAGCACCTAGCGAAACTGCTCATAGCACCAACCACCACCCTATCGCCGAATTCCATCAACCCAACCCAATGGATGAAGTGGATTGATTAGTTGTCAATTTCCTGTTGTATAACACCACCCACATGTCATCATCTGCTTTATGTTCCCTTTTACCAACGCAAACAACAAACATCTTTCCTTGCTCCCCGATTTCCACTTGTTCACTTTAATCCCTATCAACTCCCTCATTGATATGCGTTCATTCTCTCTCACACACAAACTCTATATCGCTTTTCTGTGCTTCTTTACATTTCAACAATAGCAACATACCACAACAACATCAATTCAAAAATGAGTTCATTCAATGATTTTTGTCTAGGATGATGATATGAGGAGTATACAAAAGTGGGGGAGGGGCAAAAGTTCAGGGTTTCAGGATCGGCTTTAGCAATGAGAATATGGCTGACAAATGAAATATGGGCAAGCTATATTATCGGCGATAGTGTAACACACAACACATGGATACAACGTTTGACATTTATGCTCTCTACTTCTTTAAACCTTCCATAAGTCAATGTTGCATTAGCCATCATTAATCATAAATTCGGCGTTTTTGTATACGTAGGCATACATTCATGGGGGAGGTGGAATATGCCGGATCATAATCCTATTCGCTGCCCGGGATACCACCCAGTGCTATTACTGTTCCACTCATCATCCGCCAATGACATATGTTTATCATGCGTCCCGCAATTATACCCTTTTGACAGTGTCATACAGTCATAAAGGCTTACTCATCCAAATCAGGCTTCTCTAAATTTGCTTTCTTCACGAGGTCTTTTTCGATCCCTTTCATTCAACCAAGGTATTTATTTGATATACCAACTTCTTGTATACACGATACTAAGACAACGTATATAGAAATGACGCTTCACCAACGCAATCAAAGTCTCCAAGTGGAAAAGCGACGGGCATTGCAGCAACTGCGATCCAAAGACCAGCTCCTTGAAAAGTACATCTTCATGGCCCAATTGCGTACTCGCAACATTGCTCTATTCTACAAGTTGGTGATTGAGCATCTCCAGGTGTGTGTGTGTCTAAGCAGTATGATAAGGTCTTCCTTTACCTAATATCATCCTTCACCAGGAACTGGCACCTGTCATTTATACACCTACCGTGGGCACAGCATGTTTGGAGTACTCGAATATCCTACCTTACTTGGCAGAGCCTGGTGTACCTGATGGATTGTTTTTGAACAAAGCCGACTTGCCCAATTTGCACAAAGTCATCCGTGATTACCAACCTTTTCCCAACTTTTCTCCTCAAATTGCCGTTATTTCGGATGGCTCTCGTATTCTTGGATTGGGTGATCTTGGATTGAATGGCATGGGTATTCCTATTGGTAAACTACAGCTCTATGTTGCCGGTGCTGGTATTGATCCTCGTCGCACCTTGCCTATCCTCTTGGACCTTGGTACAAACAATGAAGCCTTGCGTAATGATGAATTCTATTTGGGCCAACGTGAACCAAGACCCGATGACAAGGAGGTATACATACGCAAAGAGCCTGTTGTACATGCATGTATTAACACGTTTTCGTTGTATATAGTTTTACAGCATCGTGGATACAGTGTTGAAGACCCTCAAGGATGTTTATCCCGACATGTTGATTCAATTTGAGGATTGGTCGTCTGAGCATGCATTTGGATTGTTGGAAAGATATCAACACAAGATGCTTTGTTTCAATGATGATATCCAAGGCACGGGTGCTGTTATCTTATCGGGTATCATGAACGCCATTCGACGTGTGCAATCCGAATCAGGTGTAAATCCTCGCGATCATCGTATTGTGTTTTATGGTGCAGGTTCCGCAGCTATCGGCGTCGCACGACAAATCCAGGAATATTTCATGATCGATCAACATATGCCCGAAGATCAAGCACGGCGTTTGTTTTGGATTGTGGATAGTAAGGTTTGTGTATACATCGGGTATAATACCAAAAAGGTAGGGCTAACATGAAACTACATGATAGGGACTTGTCACGCTGGATCGTGGAGATAAACTTGCCAACCACAAGGTGTACTATGCTCGTAAGGATAACCAAGGAAAGCAAGTCAAAGGCCTTTTGAATGTTGTGGACTATGTGAAACCCACCATGTGAGTGTGTATACATGCTATATGACTATTAAGCCCTTTGATATTCATTGTGCCTATAGTTTAATTGGTCTATCATCCGTGTCGGGTGCATTTGACACGCATGTTTTGCAACGTATGGCGAAACTCAACAAACAACCTATCATTTTCCCACTTTCTAATCCTGCCACCAAGGCCGAATGTACTTTTGAACAAGCTATGCAAGCCACAGACAACAGAGTCATCTTTGCGTCAGGCACTGCATTCCCCGCGTTTACGTTGCCAGGCAACAACAAGACGATTTATCCTGACCAAGGCAACAACATGTATATTTTCCCAGGCTTGGGCATGGGTGCAGCTCTTGCACGTCCTGCAATCATCACTTATCGCATGATTTATGTTGCTGCCAAGGCACTTGCCGATTCACTTACTCCTCAAGAACAACAAGAAGGATACTTATACCCTGCTCTTAATCGTATTCGACAAGTATCTGCTCAAGTCGCTGCTGCCGTCATGATCGAAGCTGATTCATCAAAGTACAAAAGCAAGGATGCTGTGTCACGTTACGTCCAATCACAAATGTGGAATCCTGACAAAGAAGATCCCGCCATCATTAGCAAGATTTAAACACCCCTCCATCCATTTGCATAAGACGTAGTAACAACTATCATAATAAAAGAGCCACATAGAGACAAGGTATTCATTCATGCAACAACTGGATTTTGTACACCCTCTTTGATATAGCAAACAATGACTCGTATGGGCTCAAGAATATATTGGCGATCGGATAAAAAATGAGCGTTATACTATTGCTATCAATCAGATGACGCTTGTTTTGGCTCACGTGTACACCCTCCTCTGTTTCAATTATAAACGCCCGCTCACTGCGCTTTTCACGCTTTGCTTTTTCTCTCTTTACCACTTTCCACACGCATACACAACACACGCCATGATTCATACCCGCATCTATTTTATGCTTTTGCTATTCCTTGCCATGACCCCCCATGCTATTGCATGGCTCCAGTTACCGACTTGGGTTACGAGCATATACCACTCTCAGTGGTCACCTTCCTCAACCGACCTTATCGAAGACTGCAGTAAGTCTCTTTGGAGATATACGTTCTTTGAATGACAACTTGATTCATATAAATCATGAATGCAGGTGATGCTTCATATGCTGTGGAGATCAAGGATATCACATTGACGCCATCTTTCCCTGAGCCTGGCAAAGAGTTGTTGATTGAAGCAGAGGGGATTATCAAGGAACCCATCGAAGATGGCGCCTATGTTGAAGTCACTGTCAAGTTGGGTGTGATCACACTCATCCGCAAGACATTTGATCTCTGTGAAGAGATGCAAAAAAATGATGTACTAGACTGCCCAGTGAAAAAAGGTCCCCTCACGGTAAGTGCAGCGTCGTCTTCTCACGATCATGGTGATGTGTGTTTCATATTCTTATTTTGTTGCCAACCATTCGACAATACATAATAGCTCGCTAAGAAGGTTCAGCTGCCAAAGGAAATTCCAAGGGTAAATGCATGTTACTTGCAACATTGGATCTCTCACTCACTCACCTAACAACTTTCGATAGGGCGATTTCCGTGTATTTGCACAAGCCTACAACTCTGATGAATCCGATCTTGCTTGCCTCAAGGCTCATGTTGACTTTAGAAAACATCGTTTTGGTAGATTCACTTATTAAACTTTATGAAGGAGGTTTTGTATTACTCTATAACAAAGAAAGGAATGGATGACTACATGTTTAGAAACAGGGATGATGGTGGGGAGGCTCGTCTTAGTCGTGCTTAGCCAGTGCTAAACCCACTGCCTTGCGATCAAAATCATACACCGAATAGTAGGTTCGTAAAAAGGTGTCACCAAGAATGACAAAAGGTGCATTTGCCTCTGCAATACCCGAAAAGCACATTTTCTCCTTGTCCGTCTCTGACTTTGGTGCAGCACGTTCACGCACGATATCGGCGACTTTCATTGGGAAATCATGGCCGCCCAGCGTAAACACAATTTCCTTATCGCCAGCCTCCTCCCTAAGCTTGCATGGTACACGCCATCCATGCATGCTGTTGAAATGACTGCCTGGGATAGCTGCATGAATGGCTTTGGAATAGTCGCTTGGAAGAATGATCAAGGTTGTGCCAGTGTCAACAATGGCCTCAAGTGATCGACCGCTCTTGACAGATACGCCATCCACTTTGACATCATCCAAAGGTACTTGCCAATACTTTGGCTTATCCACTGGAATGTACTTGATCTCGCCTTCATAATACTCAGGGTTGGGTTTGCCAAAAGACTATAATAATAATGATGATGAGCCATCTTCTTGTTCATTTGCGCTTGAAATCATCCACCACTTACAATTTCGCCTTTACCGCCATTGCGTGCACGGCCCAAGAAAAAGCTTACGGATGCTTCGGAGATTGCACCCGATTCCTTCATGTTCTCCACAATTGATTTTTTAGCACCCATGACTGAAAGTGATGGGAAGCCCAAGCCAAAAAGACCATCTAATTGAGGATCCACAGCAAAATCAATGGAGACGGTACGTGCAAGACCAAAGATCTCGTTGGGTTGTTTCAAGTCTCCCAAATGGAATGTATCATAACCGATGCTGCCAATCACACCAGAGCCATCACCATAACGTAATGACCAAGTCTCGTTGCCAGGTTGCTTTTCAAAGGAGGATGAATCATCGGGATCAAAGAGTGGGTGGTTGCCACATCGTGCACAATCCGTGCTGGGGACCCAAATATCGGAGCTGCCTGTATCAAAATCCATCTTGAAGTCTTGAGCAGGTGTACCAATGCCCATGGAGCCAACATACTACCATCATCACGTCTATTTGTTAGACCATGATGTATACAAAGTGTCAATCATTTTACCTCGACATCCACATGCACGCTATCAAGCTCAATGGTAGAGGATGCCATGTTGAGTCGGCCATGAGAGACGCGGCTTGTAAGGTTATACTTGTTGAGCGCTTTAGCTAAGCGAGCGGGTGTATTGAGTACTGGGCCTTGCTTTTGAGCGAGATTGATCCTGTCATTTTCATTGTTAGTTTGCTTTACAATGCAAATGGATCTCCCTTTCATGCATGTACCTAAAGTCCTCCGCTTGAGCAAATTGAGAACCGAGCAGCATAAATGCTGCTATTCCAAAGAGAGATGATTTCATAGCGGCAGTAGTAGTAAGGAGGATGATAATTCAAAAAAGATGAAATGGATTCACTTGTTGAATGACTTAAATAAGGATGATCGATGTGTGGTTTCCGAGAAACAAAAAACAGATTCACCGATGGCAAAGACACAATAACAAACAAGTTGCTGCTTAATCTCATATTTGCTGTCAAACCAAAGACGCTCATTAAACCTACGTTGATCTACAGCCATGTCCTCAGCTCCCGATTTGCCACCTGAGATAATCTACCTTATTACCCAACACCTCTCTCGACACCACATTCTCCCATTACTCACACTCAATCGTCATTGGCACCGCGTCATTGTTGCCGAACTCTACAATGTCATACGCATTCGCAGCGCCCGTGAGCAGTACCACTATTGGAACCTTTTCTGTGAGACACGACGCAGTCGTCAAGGAGAGCAACAACAACAGCATGGCAGCAGCTTTTACTCGCCAATGAACTATGCAGCGCATATACGTCAACTTGATTTGTCGTGGTCATATCCAGGCAAGAGGATTACGGATGCTTTGCTTGATGACTTGACGAAGGATTGCATTCAGCTGGAGAGTATCAATATATACAACTGCTTTGATATTACGTCGCGTGGACTTGGTCGAGTACTCGAGAACTGCAGCAAGATCAGGCACTTGTACGCTGCCATGGCTACCAGTATCACATCCAAATGTCTCCTCATACCTCCCTTGACCCATTTACAACAACTCGAGACGATCAATTTATATGGACTTGAATCCCCTCTTTTCTTTCGATCCATCACCAAACGCAGGAACAAGAATGCACTAAGACATCTCGATCATATCCGAACCCTTCACTTGACAGGGCCTGTTCCCAACGAGTTGATACCCATCATTGGACATTCATTACGTGATTTGACACTTGACCATATCAAAGCCAAACACACCGGCCATGACGATGATCAAGTATTGCAGCTATTATTTCAACATACACCTCTTCTCACACGCATTCGACTCAAAGACTATCATCTCGCATCCTCATCAACCCTTGGACGCCTTCCTCTTCATTTGCAAGCACTGGAATTGGATCATTGCCGGTTAACATATGATTCACCACCACCGCCACCCTTTGTGAAATATCTAAAGGCATTGGAATTACCCGACACCAGCGTAAAAACCATTGACATGTGGATCGAGCAATGCACCCATCGATTATTAAGGTTTACAGCACCTCCAAACATACCAGGGCGCGCATTGGAAATGCTTATGGAAAGGTGTCCCCATCTCGCTCATCTGACAATGGATCATGCTGTATCCCCTGTTGACATCACTGCCATCATCATGTATCGTGACTATTTGGACCGTGCACTCACCACCTCGTATTGGGCCAATACCCTTGTGTCGCTTGATGTGATGATTCCTTTTACTGTGCCCCATCAACCGCTTCCTCAACTTGAACATTTACACATGCGATTCCCAGTCCCCAGCATACGGCTTGAAGGAACGATGATCCGAGATTTGTATCCAGCACTTCGTGTTTTGTACATTGAACAATTGACTTTTGCGTTTGAGTCACAACAACAACAAGAGGAGCCACTTTGGTTGGGAACAAACGCACCCTGGTTGGATCAATTGGATGCATTCATGTTACCCACGCAGTATTACCGAGAACCCACCGAACAGCTAGTACGATTAAGAGAACAATACGAGCATTGGTACAGTCACAAATACATTTGGTAATCATCAACAAAGGATCACTCTTTTTTATGTTTGTATATGAAAATATGGTGTGTGTGTGTGTGTGTATTTGGAAGATCGAAATACTAAGCTATATACAGAAATGGGTGTGTGAATGCGCAAATACAAAGGAAAAGAGAGAGAGAGGGAATGGTTGTGTGTTGTGTATATGAAGTTATGATTGAAAGAGATTGGATAATCGCTTGCGAGTGCCTTGTAAACGCTTGTTGCTGCTTGTGGTGGATGCATTGTCGCTCGTCACTGGTGTTTTCGATCGACGTAGACTACGAGACAAGGATGCAAAAGGTTGCTTGCTAGGACGAGGTGGTTTATCACCATTTTGATTACGATGGACCAAAGAGTCGAATTTGGCACGTAGATTGCTGCTGCTGCTACGATTCAGGCGTAGACTAAAAGACCGCTTGGGTTCTTCACTTGGATGTTGCTGTGGTGGTGATTGTTGTGGTGGTGGTGGTTGTGGTGAAACAGCAGCTGCTCTCGCCGCCATATTGAGTAAACGGCTATTCTTGGGAGGTGTGCTGTTTTGTCTTTCTTCAGGTGGGGTTGGGATGGTCTCGTCAGATGATGATGCAGTCTCCTCATCCTCGTGGTGACGACGGCCATGGCGTTTTGCCGGAACAGCTTCCGTTGGAGTCTGCTGATTTTCCTGCAATGGTTGTTTTTGTGGTGGTGGTGGTTGAATGGATGATGATCGTGGTGGTGGTGTAGTAAGGACTTCCTTCTTTTCTTCTGCTTGTTTGGGTGCAGATGGCTCATTCTTCAAAGGTGGAGAAGGTGTTGTTGTTGTTGTTGGGATTGGCTTTTCTTCTTTTGCAACAATGGTGGGTGCTTCAATCATCTCATTGTTCTGTTGTTTATCACTTGTTGTTGTTGTACGTGATGATTGTGTCATTGTTTCATCTTCAACTGCAGATACCTGCTGCTGTTGTTGTTGTTGTTGCGATTCTGGTTGTGGGGGAGATTGCTTATCAACCACATGTGGGGTGGTGGGAATAGGCTGCTGCTCGCCCACATCATTGGATGCGTTAGCTTCTTCAGCTGCAGTACCACCTGCAGTAACGCTCGAGTCTGTGGCTGTAACAGTTGCATCATTGCATGCATTACGAGACGCCAAAGGTTGCTGTTGTTGTTGTTGTTGTTGCTCCTGCTTTTCCTCTGTTGGTGGTAACTCTTCCTCAATCGATGGTACGTTTTCTTGTGAGCTCTCTTCATTGACAGTGATATCGGGTAGGATAGCAGCAGCAGAAGGTGGTAGTATTGACACCTTGTCGGTGGTTGGCTTTGATTCAGCTTCAGTGGTTTTGCCAAGATAAGGCGTATCCTTTGTAGATGGATGCTCCAAAGCAGAGGATGGCGTTGTTGTTGTAGGAGTGGATTGCTCTTGAATGATGCTTTCATTGATGATACGATGATCGTTCCTCTTTTTTGGGTGGGCTGATGCTGTTGTTGGCTTTTCAGCCTTAGGCTGTTGTGGGACATGATTGGTAACACCTTTACGAATAGCGCATACATCATCCCAAAGAGAGCCTGCCAGCATAACAGAAGCCACGACAATGACGCGCAGCAAAAGCAACACCATCAGACGACAATGAGCAAGCGCACTCTGACATTGCGATCGTTGTTGGTCGTAGCAAGATACGGTGCCTGTAATTAAGGCTGACACGTCGTGAGGTCGTAAAGAGACAAGGATAAAAAAGGCGAGTTGGATAACCAAGTGCATGTGTTTTGTGGGAGGAAGAAGAGGGGAAAGAAAAGTGTTAATTCCACAAATGGAGATAAAGGTAGAGAAGGTATCTTATTTATAGTCAAGAGGAGCACCCGAGTAAACGGGCGGGCAGCTAAAGTAAGGAGTATGCAACTCCAGTGTATGCTTGGCTCGCTCAACAAATAACCTTATCCACTCCCATATCACAAAGCACACAGACCAAAAAAATCTTTCCATAAACAACGTTGCACGACAGGTCGCCATCTCGCTACTTTTTTAAATCATCCACGTGATGACAACTATTGTAAATGATGAATGATGCTTCGATTTCCTCATCCAGCACAACGATAGTGTTGTCGTCTTCAACAACAATAATGGCTACTCATTGTTGTTGTTAATCATTGTTTTCCTAAACCATTCTCATAATAACATGAAACATCGATCTTGTGAACATCATGACATATGCCGCTTCTCTTCCGAGTCTCTTCACTCATTCACATATGACACCATTCTTGGCATAACATATACCTCTTTTGTCAAAAATACATCCACGAGGACAGGCTATGGAAAGTAAACACGTCTTCTTGGCCCTAGTCTTCACAAATAGTTTGGGGTGTGATCGGCCGGTGCCTTGGCGGGATATGCCATGCAAGCTGATAAGTCTTCTTTATATCACCCGATCGGATTGTCTTAATAGCATCCTGTCTCCTTGGAGACCTCGGATCGGCACATCATGTTTCTTTAAATAATTGTCAGGCGAATTGATAAAAAGTATACACCAATGTTTACACGACATATAAGGTGTTGGCTGTGTCTGTAATGTGTAACAGCTGCTACATACATGGATCATCGAAGAAGCGAGAAAATCAATTGAAGCACAACAACAATGAACCACTTTTTGGAGATCCCAGGTATAGATGCCAATGATGTAAGATACCACTATCGGCGCCCTCGGATGGCAACCGAGATGGGGTAGGGCGATCTGCATTATTTAAGTCTTGTTAAATTACACGTATCACCACTAAAACACTGAACACCAAACTAAAAGCTCAAGTCATGTGTATGGAGTGCTTCACGCCTATTAGCACGGATATGGTCTAGTATTAGATCCATGCCATTTTCCGCTGTTGAACAAAAAGGCTGACTACTATACCTTTGACGACCCTCTTTACAACAGCAATGCTGCAGCTAGAGAGCGACCACGACGACAAGTTGGCTTTATTCATCAACTAATGGTGATTAGTGTGCTATTGTGTCTCACAAACCAGCCATTAGGATATTCTTGGCACTATTGTTGCATCATTGTTATAACAGCATACCGTATTGGGCTGAAACCAAAAATGCCACACGGGTCTAACCATTCTTTTGTGCTTCTCCTTTTTCTCTCTCACACCCATTCCCCTCCTTTCTTGCTGGGAATGAAGGGGGGAGATTCCACCGAAAAAAGAAGTTGGATTTGCTGGTGTTGTTACCTTCCCAGGGTCTCTTAAATGTGAAATAGCAAAACCTAACACCATCCATACCCTGCATACCACGCGAGTCAATCGACCTGTCATCCTCGCATGGATTCCAATGGTACGTAATGCCTCATACATACGCGACATGATGAATCATTAGTAGGGTTGATGCATACAAACATCAATGCGTATTGACAATGAGGATGCAAGCTATTGTTCTTTCATTAATACGATTCCGACCACTCAAAGTAACAATACCCTTATTTGATATTTGGCTGTCCCATCTCTTTATAACATCTTTCTCAACGTGGGTCATGTGTATCGCTATACCAGGGTCTCTATGGCAAAACAAGATCCGATTGTGACATGTCGATCGTGATTGTTACCCGCTCGTTCCACAAATGATGGTTTGGATATTGCTACTCTCTCATTGAATCAATCATGGTACAACTGCTCCCTACACCAAATGCCATTTTCCCTTAATGACCCTATTACTCTTTTTGAAGGATAGGGAAAAAGAAGGTAGACAACAGCAAAAGGTATGTTGGGGTGACTACAACACCCTTCAAATGAATTAGTATCCCAGCAACATCCTTTCTGTGACACACGCACACACATTGTTGGTAGTACAAATGTTTGATGTATTGATGATCCGGATCATTTTCGACCACAAACAAGCTGAATACAATATAGTATGGCAGTAAGAATAAAGTAAAAGCATACATAAAGATCAAAGAAAAGGTGACAATGGGCTATATCCATGCAAGCATATGTATGCAACTAAAGCCCCATTGCTTGCATATGCAATGTATTCGTTGGCAAGGAGAGCCGTGTACCCGGGTCGAACGCCGAGCTCAGCATAAACCACATCACCGCACAGGCGTATTACATTTGTCGCTGTTGGTACCTTTCTTCTTTTTCTCCTAACAATGACCATTCCGCAACATGCGCCAATCAGGTGAGTCTTGTCCAATCGCCCACATACTCTTCAAGCTCATCTAAATGCGTCATTGGTGGTTGTCAAGGAAACCGTTGCTTGGCTTTTCCACGTGGTCTACACAAATCCTTGACGACGTACCTGGATACGGTGGACGACATATTCAACCATGGCATGTATTGTAGTGGATGCTTGTTTCATTGTAGTACTAAACGTGCCTGATCCTATAATAGGTTCAATGAAGAATCATTACGTGAGATATCCGACGTGATGAAAGCTAAAATGCCACAATACGAATTCATCAATCTTGATTCTGGATGGTAAGAGAGGCTATAATTACGCGTTGTATAGGGTGTTGTTGACTCATTCTTTCATGTGTCTCATGTTGTAGGAGCGACACCTGTGATCGATATGGACGATGGATGTATCGAACCGATTTATTTCCTAATGGACTCAGTGCTCTATCCGCGCATCTTGCCAAGAATCATCAAAAGTTGGGAGTTTATATTCTTCCGGGTATCCGGCAAGACGCAGCCGAAGCCAATTTACCCATCAAAGGATGTCCCTGTCACCGGTTAGGCGAACTCGTCAAACAGAAAAAGGAAGGCAATGGTTTCAAGGGAGCTACTTACAAGCCTGATCAATACAATGACCTGGTGCAAGCGTATTATGACTCGATGGCGGATTTATTTGCAGAATGGGGCGTTGGTTATGTCAAAGTGGATGGATGTGGACCCAATAGCGATATCCAACACCCGGCACCTGATACACGAGCTGATCTTGCCATGATGCACAAGGCATTTTCGCGCCATGGGATTATTATGGAATTGTCATGGTACCTGGATCCGAAGTATGCGAGTGATTGGGCAGCCGTTGCGAATGGTGCACGTGTTTATTCCGACATTGAAAGCTACTCCACAAAGACCATGACATCCTCACATCGTGTATTTCAACGAATGGGACCTACATCCAAATGGTGCAGCAGCATGGATGCCATAGGAGGAAACAACAAGAACGCGTTTTATGTGGATTTGGATGTGGTCCTAGTGGGCATGACCATTGATGGACGTGGATGTATCGATGGGCTTGACAATGATGATGTACGGATATCCTATATCAGTTTCTGGGCGCTGGTTAGCTCGGTGTTTTGCATTGGATCCGATCCTCGTCGTATTCCAGAAAAGTACATGTCACTCTTGAATCATCCTACCATGCTTGAAATACAGCAAAGCGGCATCATGGCAAAACCCATTGGTTCAGGAAACGCATGGTACAACCGAAAACAAGTTTGGTGGAAGCGGCTCTCGGAGCATCGGTTATGCGTAGGTCTCTTTAATGCCCATGTGTACCCGTTTATGCTGGGAATGAGTCACGAGGTCAAGGTCAACTTTGATGATTTGAATATCACGGAAGCGGATATCAAAGATGCTTGGACAGGTGATCATCTAGGCACATTTATGGGCTCGTATAGCAAGACACTACGTCCAGGTCAATGCCAAATCTTGATCTTGACAACTCCATGATTAGATGTATAGAACAAATGATCTTTGTTTTGATCGTGTATATATAAAAATTATATTTTAAAGGGTACTATATGGTATTATGACTTGTGGGCCTTTGCAATTAATATCATGATAAGCAAGCAAATGAAAAGGATCAACAATAGGATAAGTTTACGTCGTCGTGTCTTGCTTTGGTATCGTGCACCCTATCAAAATCCATGATCAGAACCACACATACACACTCTCCAAATGCATGGCCCATTTCATTACCCACCTTATCCAATTCCACCGTTGCATGCTTTACTTGCACTGCTGTTTGTTCAATATTATAATCGATCCGATCCAGCATGGTTCCCTGATCAATGACAAGTGTTTGCAAATCCCTAAAGATTTCGGCCAGTTGGTGTATTGACCTTGCAATCTGGTTGATCTCCCGTTCTCGTTGGTCAATGATGGCTTCATTGTTCTCGATCACTGCAAGCTGAGACTCTGTGAAACCCTATCATGCAATTCCGTGTCAGCATTACATCCTTCCTTACTCTCTCTATTCTCTCGCTTACCAATTGTGCATCCTCATCCAACAATAATTCAGCCGCTTCATTACTAAGATCATTCTCAAATCCAAGCATGTTGGCTTTGCGACTCTCTTGACCTTGCATCTCTGTAATACATACCACCAACACCGTTAGCATCATCCATGCCATGCTTTCCTTCATATACTTACTTTGTAGATAAGATGATTGCATTTTTCGGAAGGACGTTGATACTTCTTGAACCTTGGTGGCTAAGCTGGTTTGTATGTTGCGTGCAAGTTTATCCTCTTGACTTGATGGGGTGCTGCTGCTGCCGATACGTTGAATGTCGCGTTTGATACGGTAGAATTCCTATTCTCCAGTTGTCAACTTTTCCAAGTAGTCCCAAGCAACCCACTCAACCACATACGTTGGTAATATCAGACGTGAGTTTCTCGATCGCTGCTTCATCGGATGACCGGTCGTCAAAGCCTGGCAAAAGGTGTTTTCGATGCATTCCCTCCAACCGAGTTACTAGCAAGCATAAACGTTGGGCACACAATGAGATGATGGGTTGTATGACAATGCGAATAAACCTACTCTTGTCTTTGATTTGGTCGAGTGTCTCGTCTACTTCTTCTACAATGTCGACCCTAGAGTAGAGTATGATAGAATATGAGCATGGGCTGGTACAATCGGTTGTTGTTGTTGTTGCTGCTGCTACATTACCATTGAGGCGGCAAGACCGACATTTCAATGACACTGTCCGAGCTCTCAATAAGACCTTCAGTCTCGGACGCTGCCGTATGTGGTTGTGTAGAACGTGCATAAGAGTTACGAAACTGTAAGAATAAGAGGGTGCGGCTGCGGGTTGCCATGTTTGCCAAAAGAAGTGGGTGAAAGGACGGCCGCGTTGTTTGATGTTCCCTTTTTGGGGTTGTATTTAATTCGGCATGACGAGAGGCCTCTTGGCACCCCATCATCATCAATAGTTATACCACTTTTCATTGTTTGACTCTTCTAGAATGATTCAAAGAGTTGAAAATGAGGATCGTTTATGCTATGTAATCAATACCTCCAGCTTGCATAGTAATGAAAGCTTATGATTTCTATAGACACGATATGCCATGTGGCCCTCCTCCATGATACTTGACACTCTTTTACTGTACAAAGAATGAGAAACCTAGTACGTGTTGCATTTCATTGACAAGAGCACCTGGCTGTGTCTTTTGTCCCACCACCACCACCATTTGATTGTGCATTTTTCAAGACCTTCTTCCTTTACCCTTTTTATCACACTTGCTTGCTATGGAATCACTACCTCCCGAGATCCTCTCCCAGATTCTCTCCCATCTTGATCGCAATGACACCATTGAGTGCGTTCGTGTATGTCGATCATGGTGTAAACTTATTCCTCCTTATGCTGCTCCTCTCTGGTCGCATGTTCACTTGAGCCAAGACGCCTATCACATTTTGGATGGTGTTCCTATCTTTTCACCTTTCATTCATACCATTACCCTCGTCAACTATGACGCACATTTGGAGAAGGCTCTTAAAATGCTTAGTAGTGCATCCAACCATCTTGCCTTACAAAAGCTAAGTATGTATGACACCATGCTATTAACCCCTCAGCCGAGTTGTCTGACATGTCGATATTATTAGAACTCCAGGGCACACGGATGCGACCCAATCCTGATTTCATCGAGTTATTCCGACCAATGCATGTCGATGACTTGGAGGTTGAAGACACCACACGAGACGTTTCGGAAAGGATGGACTTTTTGGACTTGATGGCAACAGCACAACCTCGCAGCTTTTATTATTCGGATACGCCCAACATCATCCCCGATATATATCCATGGTTCACATTTCATCTTAAGGATGTCAATTCACCCCTTTGTGAACGACTTGTATCATTGACATTGAAGATTTACGGCTTCCAATTTGATTTAATGACTCTTCTTCAGCATTGTCCCAACTTGAAAAGACTGCAAACGGGCTTTGATACACAAGCCAGCAGCGACGACATTATGGCTTCATGTCCACGTCTTCAATATTTGGATTGTAACAGTATTTTTGATGCTCGCAAGGAGTTGGAATGGGTAGAGACACCACCACCACCACCACCACCACCTCATGATGAACAACAAGGCTTATTATTACGCTATCTACGCTATCGCAAAGTGGATGCTCAGACGCTAGACTTTGTATTGAAGTACCAATCCACACTTGAACTACTCCATCTTGATTGCAAACATACCGCTTATCGACCCAAATGGCAACCTTTTGCTACGCAGTTCCAATCAGCTACGTTACGCATGTTATCATGTCGGATGCTTGGAGACGGCGAGTTTCTCAGCACATTGATCCCTTCATGCCCCAATTTGGAACGTGTGCAATTGAGTGGAGTACGACCCCGTGCAGCTATATGGGATGCATTAGCTTCTTTGCCCAAACTTGAGCTTTTGGAACTTGGACTTTGTAGCGATCGTACACAACCTGGCGACGACGAGCAACAAGCTATCGCCGAATTACAGCAAATGTTCAGCAAATTATCATTGAAGTATTTGGCCTTGAGGAATGATAGTATCTTTTACAACATGCTCAAGCCTTCAGTGCTCTTGGAAGCTGTTCGTCACCAAAGAGATCTTGAAGAACTTGAAGTGAATTGCGAGACGCTTGTAGAGCCCATGGATGTGGATCAATTCTTTACCTATCTAAGTCACATGCCGCACCTCAAGCATTTGGACCTCGCCTATCTACCATTCCCCAATGATCTAGCATTTGCTCCACTTTGTAATACTTGTATTGGTATTGAATCCATCAATCTCACCCATTGCCGCAACGTCACAGATGAATTACTAAGAGCAATCCTGGATACGCTTGCCCCACAACGATTGAGGAAACTTCATGTAATAGGCAATAGTAAGGTAGCATTTCCTGATATATTTACACGATACATGATGAACAAGTACAATGGTCGACTAGACTTCTTGATAATAAAGAACATGTGATGATGATGGTAATACTATTTTACAATGCGCATGAATATTTGTATGGGGCATAAAGATGTATATACATAATTCTACTACTACGAATACGGGGAGGTCTAGGGTGGAGGTGGATCGGGTGAAGTTGCTGCTCTCAGCTGCTGAGGACAATCGAAGCATGCATTATCGGCGTCGCTGCTACTGGATCTTCTTGATTGAGATGGTTTATATAAACGTCGATGGAGATAGGATGGCGATGGTACTGAGTGATGTTTATCCTTCTTTTCCTTAGTGGATAATGAATGACAATCCTCTTGATGACTATGACGATGATGATGTTGACTCAAAGAAGGAGGGTGGTCTTTGGAGAGATGATGATGTTGCTTGATAAACTCCTTCATTTTGCTCAAGGTTTTGCCTGTATCGCTCACGCTTCGAGGACCAAGTAATCTGCGCCTGACTTTGGCTGGTGCTTTGACCACGCTTTCTTCGATATTATCAGGGATTACAACCATGCCTGCAGCAACACTAACACGTCTTCCTGCTGGATTGAGAATGTTACGATCCGGTAGCATATCCGATGGCTGACGACCATGTTCTCCAGGTACAGCAGGTGCTGTTGCAGCTGATTGTTGACTTATACTAGTGGCACTACTTGCTGCGCTGCTCACTTTGGTGATTCGATGATCGGCATTCTTTGTTGTTGTAGCTGTAGTTGATGTAGTCTTTTCAGCATTCTCTTCCTCCATATTTTGCCATTCGATGCGGTTTTGTTTGAGTTGTTGAACAAGGGTATCGGCGCGAGGGAACAAGGTAGCGAATAATTCGAAAAATGGGCCCACAATGTAATCTCCAAATTGCATGCCGACCATCATTTGAGTGACACAATCACGATCCATGTTGGGTGATACAGGTAATCCATGCTTCTTTTCTTCGTCACCTTGTCGAAAGAATTCTTGACATACCAACGTTGACCAATTACGACACACTGGCCATGGCCGTAATGGATTACTAATATCCGCTGCATGCAATACGATTTGGCACATCATTTGCCGTTCTTGTTGGTCCAGTAAGGGATCATCCAACATCAATGGATATACATCACCGCAATCTGTATCGCTGAAATAAGAATACCTCTTCTCAAAGTGTGGAAGGGGGCTCTTGTCTCCACGAAAGATATCAGTGACAAAATGTTCACTTGAAGAGTCCGTACAACCATTGCTCTTTATACTTGATGAAGGTGAAGGGGCGGCACTCGGCGAGGGAAGGGATAAGTCGGCTGTGCCAATACTGGATATGCTGTTATCAGTGCTTGCTGATGATCGATGATGATTATCATTGGTGGTGGTGGTGGTGGCTGCTGGCATGTCTGCCGTTGCTTCCATATCACGTTGATGGAGTCGATAGGCTGTAATTTCAACAAGGCTAGCGAGATTTGCTTGCAATTCGTAATGAAACACCATGTCTGTTGATAGAATCATCTTGATAATGGATGCACGCATATTGTCTTCAGTCGTTTTGCCGGCAGTGGCTCTTGCAACGTTACGAAGAATTCGATGCTTATCCAAGATCCTCAATGTAAGACTACTTGAATAGCTCTCCAACACCGATTTGTTGTCGTATCTCTTTGCAACCTCCGTTTGCTGCTTGACCTGAAAGTTGTTGTTGAAACCGGGCTAAGATTATTATGGAAATGTGTCAGTTGTCATGTCGACGTTATAAATAAATCAGGTGATTTAAATACTTACATGACCAATGTCATGGCATAGTGCTGCAATAAACAGTGCTACGATATCGATTCGTGACAAATAGCGTTCAGCCTCCAAAGAGCTGATGATGTAATAGATCATGAACGCAACATCGGCCCCGTGATAAAACGAATGGTATGGATTCGCCAAGTAACCATGATCAACTTCAATGATAAAGTCCAAGAACTCTGAAGGTGTGATGAGCATTGTTGAAAAGACGCCAAGTCGATCTGCACAACCAAGAAGTGTCCCATAGATTGTATGCCGCTCTTTATCCAATAGCGTTGAGTCGAGCCCATACTCGTAGTCCACTCGTCGATCCGCCACTTTGAGCATTGTCTATTCCAGTTGTCAATGGAGGTTCATTGGCCATGTGATGTCACGATTAGGAAAAGTGCTCACTTGTTCTACCAGGAAGAGGTCTTGCACCGGTATTTTATTATGCTGTAGTATGAGCATGATGAACCAACTGCTGCTCTAAAACAGTATGGTAGGAAAGGGGAGAGGACAATGCAAGAAAGAAAAAGAGAGAGAGAGAGCGCGAAAACCCATACAATGGGACGCCTAGCAACAATGAACGAAAAATGGAAAAAATCCATGGGATGTCACATTTTTAATGGGGGGAATGAATTCAAGGGTCCACTGATCAATCTAACGTCAATTTGCATAGCGTAGTCCTTTACGTTTCAGAATCTGATCAATCTCCTTGACATATCCAAAGTAAGCTTCCCATTCCTTGTCACCCCTTTTCGGTTCAAGCTTGTGTTCAGCCAATAACGTTTCAATGTGTTTGTGGCTAAAATTCATGCAAAATAAGCTGCATTGTTCTCTCTCTTCCCCGCACATAACCCACACATTTTACAACAACTTACATTTTTGCAACATCACGAGCCCGACTCAATGGCTTAACCAACACGCCAAGCACTCGGAAGAACTTGAGAGACACGGTCTTGCTCTTGTGATTCTCCGCTGCTTTGGATAATACATATGTCACACCATCAATGTGCAGTCGATCACAAATCACATGCTCTGCCACGTGGCGTGAAGGGTCTTCTTGATCAGCAAGGCTTAACGTACGAGCTTGTGAACGTGCAAGTGAAAGTGTCTTGTCGATGGATCGGTAGGAGTCATTAACATGCGCTTCGAAAGACTACATCATATATACAACACAATCAATCATTCATTCATTCTCCTTGCAATGAGTAGTGTGTGTTACCTTTTTGAGAGAATCAAGGAATGAACGGCAAATGCTGGATGCACACTCTTCATTGTGAATAAGATCCACTCTCAATTCCTCAATAAACGCCTTCATGATAGCGTCAGCCTCATCCCCGAGATAGCCATACTGTGCCAAGATGTCCGTCATTTGATCATAGCCTAATACTCGTGCTGAGACTGCGCGTGCGACATTGGCCACCAATCGCAACCCTTGCTCGCTGTGATTTTCTTTGGTGCTATCCTCGTTGTCATCGTCATCATCTTGGGTTTCATTCTCGCCTTCACCTTCATTCATTGCGTTTTGCCAATTTTCAAGTTCAGATGCAATGTATTTCCTGCAACGCTCTTGGGTGTGGTCTGGACAATCCGCACGTAAGAGATTCAATTCGGTGCTGCCAGTAAAAAGATCACTTGAAAAGATCCAATAAAGATCCATCACAATGCCAAATGCCTAATTGAACCATTGCATGTTAAGAGAGAAAATCATTTGAGCCTCCCAAAGTTATCATAACTTACAGTAGATCGGACCACAGGTAACGGCTTGAGATCAGGTGCAGTCGCCAAATCGGTCATCTTGTCCATGACTGAATCACGTTTTCTTTCCACCTTGTTTGCTGCAGCACGGCCGGCACCCGTGAGATCACGATCATTTGATATCCTTTCACATTTCCACGAAAAGTAACGGAAGAGAACACCCATTGCAGAAATTGAAATCTAATCAAGATATTCATAAGTCTCTTGATACATACCAAACATCATATACAATACCTGTTTTTCCTTTTCGAAACCACCACCAGCGCGAACAATAAAGTGGGTCATGAGGTCTACAATGTCGTCGTTCATATCTTCACTCTCATCCATGACGTCTGTGACATCAATAAAGCTGATAAGATGATCCAAGCGAAGCAAGCTCATGGTGATAGCATGGACGTCGTCCTTGGTGAGACCACAAATCGAGATATCCTTCAATGAACCATGTTAGCATCGAATGTATAGACCTCTTCTCAATCCATGAATATTACCTTGCCACGGCAAGCATCACGAACTTGTGCACCCACGCTATCAACAAGTTCGGGCATCAACTTGTCATTGACATCAGAGAGGAATGTGGCAGCTTTCATGTGATGGAGGGTCTTGGCACAATTCTCAAGCAGTGTTGGCAAGGTGGCACCGGTATATACTTTGATGAGAGTTTGGAGAAGCTCCTCGTAGGTCTAGAATATCTTGAAGTGAATAAAAGCGACGACATTTACAAGAAAAAGATCACTTACGGGATGCATACGCAGATCAGAATAAGCATCCAAGTTCATCAGCTGTGGAATAGTCACCAGCTTCTCGAGCTTGTTGGCATTGTCATTGTGCTTGGTCAACAACTTGGAAAGCAATGGCACAAGATAGCGAGATACTGCAGCACGATTTTCATTCATTTCGGCCTCATCCTAGACAAAGGTACATTAGGATGAATAAACCAAATGATGATCCAAGCACACATACCAGTTGTTTCTTCTTATCCTTGCCACGAATGTGAACGCCACGACCAGTGATTAAATGAAGGGAGGCCACAAAGACACTGATAAACACATCTTCTTCACGATCGGTCAGCCGGTATTCCTCGTCCACTTCTTCAGCGTCCATTGAGCTATCACCCTGCTGATTGCTTGAATGATCCCGGCTTAGATAATCGGCCATTGCTTTGTAATCCTATTTATAGCTTACAATGAGACAACCAGTTCCCGCACACTTCATTCATTATCCTCCCTACTTACATTCAAAACAGGCAAGTGCACCCATAATGCATCAACAACGGTGGTCACAATATGATGAATGTCGATAGCGATAGCTTCAGAAGACTCGGTATCCATGTTGTTGTCATTGGCACGGATAGCTTTGATATGGGAAACCAACAATGCAGCAAGCCACTTGAAGGAGCTCCAGGCTTTGTGTGCGGCAGAGTTTTGACCACCACCATTCGATGAATCGTTGACAGACATAGATTGCATATCCTCTTGCATCTTTTCAAGGTCGGGTGCGTAAAGTTGAACCTCGATCACAGTCTTAACGAAGGGTGCAACGGCTTTTTGGAGTCTATCATTGTCCACAAAGAGGATGCCCATGAGCAAATCACGGCTGTCATTATCAAAGAGGTCGGGTTGATGCTTGAAAAGAAGATGGCTAAGCTCGATGGCTTGAAGTCGCACCGACACATCGATATCATAAAGAGCGATTTCTTGAATGCGTGCCTTGAATCGCAAGATGAATGCTTTGAGCTTCTCCACAATGGATTCTACGTGGTACATGCGAATAATGGATTTCAGGGCTTCGGTGCGCACTCGTGCATGCTATACATATCACTGTGAGTATGATGCCGTATTTAACATCTCGCTTTGTATTTTACCTGATCATTCAATGCCCAACCAATGTATCGCAAATAGGAGTTGTCGACAAAGTGTGAAGAGTAATGCAAGCTCCAAGTACAAAGTTCCTTGATACACTCGCTGCGGATGACATGTTCAACATCACGTGCTCGGTGAACGAAAACGCTATACCAGAGGTACATGTCAACACCCTACATCTACATCCATTGGACCCCTCCTTGGCTATTTACCTTTCAAAGAAATCATCGATGAATTCATTCAATTCCTCTTGCTTGCGTTCCAAGGTGGCAGCACGTTGTGTCATCAATCGTTTCTTCTCAGCATTCCTGCCACGACCACTTCTTGTACTCTCATTGCGAAGCTGACGCTGAACAACTTCAAGCTCGTTGGTGACCTTATCCGCAAAGATGGCAAGGCAATCCAATACTCGGAATGTCAAGATGGTAGCTGTATGACGGAATGGGCGATAGGTCGAACTATAGAGTAAACATGTGAGTATTCAAGTCTTTTCTCTCCCTCTCTCTCTTATGAACCATGCTTACCTTGCCATTGTTGCCAGCCAATTATGTAGTGTTTCAGTAAATGTGCCATCATAGACAATATCATGCTGGCATTGTTCCATGAACGTCTTGAAGAATAGGAGAATGTTGCGTTTGAAGGTTTTGCCACTCTTGGATTTGGAAATGATCGGGTATTCAGGTTGCGGGAGCTATAATCCATGTCGTTACTTTACAATTCCTTTATACCTTGATCCAATAAAAACATACCTTTGCAAGCTCGGATTGAAGTTCTTGTAATACTTCTGTTGCGATATCTTCTTTGCCAAATGCATCTTCTGTCACAGCTGTCATGCATCCACAGCTCTAAAATATTCATTTATCAATATCCAATGCATTGTCATCAACTATCCCATCCAACTTACTCTGATGAAGAAATTGATCAAGTTTCGCAATGCATCCTCCTTATCAGCACGATAGCTATCGATCCATTCGGTGGTGATCTCGTCAATATCCACATCCTCCTTTGACAATTGATCTAAAATCATTGTTAGCTTATGGAAGATGGCCAATAAACAGGATCCAACCTACCATAAAGTCCTTCACGACCATCCGCAGTAAGAGGCTCCAATAACTGGCTTGAGTGTGTCAATGAGACCTCTGTCACCGATTTCCTCCTACGCTGACTGCTGCCACTGGCTTTGCTGCTGCGCTTCTCGGATGTCTTTGAAGTTCTTTGACGCTTGCTGGAGTTGGTCTCGAATTCGCTATCGCTGCCTTCACTATCATCGCTTGAAGCAAGTTGGTCGTCTTCTTGTTCGTCACTGCTCGAGTTTTCATTGTCGGATGTGACGATGGGTCGTTTGCGTAGCACTAGAACCACACATTGAGCGGTTGATTTCTCGTCATGGAGCTTGTTGCATACCTCGTTGTTGTTGGAACATTTCAGTTACTGTTCTGTTGGAACCAGCCTTGGACTTGGCCGCCGACTATGGAGTGAAAAGAAGCAACGGAGTGAGATCTCTATCGTAAGCAACACCATTGTTCAATTTACCTTTCCTTTGGATGAGGTTGATGCTTTTGGCCGAGTCATTGTCGGTGAGTATGTGTTGTATGTGTCTCAAATGAGAGAAAGGGGGAAATGCAAAAGGCGCGTTAGGCGCGCTGCGGACGCGACGTTTTGAAATCAAGATGCGCCGCGTTTTGTTGGTGCTGACAGGTGACACACGCAACGCACACATCCCAGCCAGCCGCTGCTGAAGACCATTCTCATCGACCCACACCATCACAAAGATAGCTATCTATTCTATATGTATTATTCAAAATAAATAGAAGCTTTGTCAAGATCACATAAAAGAACATCCCTTTAGCAACATATTAGTTGTCAGAGTTTATCATTACAGCGAAGTAAATGTAAACACATGCTAGCGCTGTTGATTACAAAAGCATGTGTTGGGTTCATTCATCAGCTCTTGTTCCAAGGAATCATCAATTGGTCGCTGTGGGTGTTGATAGCACGTTGGAGGCAATAACAAGCCTTCCTGCCATTGACCAACGATTTCTTGACGAGCCACACACAAGGATTAACTATTTCAGACGCTCCAAAAACCTGCAACTAGTGACATTTGAGAGGGGTGAAAAGATGCTGAGAACACTCGTGGTCGAAATCATAATGACACCTGTACCCGTGATGGGGTCCATGGATAATCAATCACAATGAATCGGCTCGTTTCATTGTGGTCATTGTTGACTTTGCCCTAAACCATCTTATTATTTTGATAGTGATGAATTCGCACTATTATCAGTCACCACGTTAGATCTTTACTGGACCTGGTGTTAGTTATAAGGATGTGTGATATCATGTCGATCTTTTCGGTCATTTACTAAAAATGGTGATTGACATGCGCGAGCTTTAGAAATGCTAGCCACCATAATACCCCGTGAACCCCACATGCATAATCAACACCCATTCAAATGTACTTTGTTAGAAGAAAAAAAGAATGCATAAAATCGAATGACATTTACAAACAATCAAGGATGCACTAGATGGCTCAATACGACGAATAAAGAAAATAGTGATTTAGGATGATGGTGGTCATCTGATGATTCCCATATCCCCTGGAAATCCTACCCCTGGATATTAAACATTTTTTGACAGACGAGCGTCGTACGTTTTAATAAGGACAAAAGTGAACGACCTTTTTATTTTGGTGCAGCTTCCCAATGTTGATGGATAACCTATCTCTTTCTTTTCTCCCCATTCCTCTCTTTTTACACAATACAATATAGCACAGCATGCTCTGTGCCACTAATCAAGTTAATGCGCAGGACGCATCATCACACCATTCCCACCCATCCTCTCCTTCAAGTACAGCAACCGACTCCACACTTTCGCCCCATATTATGCTTATGCATGATCCATACGATCCACGCATCAATGATGAATATGAAGCACTTGTCCGCAAATGGACAGATCATCTTTTATCAAAGTCACGTCATTCACCCATCGACAGCGCCATTAGCAGTACAACAACCTCAACGACAACACCACCATCGCCGCACCATTTGACTAAAAACAACAAAATCATTGATCGTCTCCTTGAAGAGCAATGGATTGATGCTCAACGTGTGCTAAGCTGTGCTCAAGCGTGGAATACACGTGACTCTTTGAGCATTGAAGAAGCAGTGCGTACGATGAACATCCTTGGCTTGCGGATGATGCAAAGATCGTTAACCACGAGACACGAATTAAATGCTCAACATCAGCAGCCATGTCCTGCAAAAACGGATGAGCCGAACTTGGATATGCCATCATTTGATTTGCAAAGCAAGACATTGCTTGATGAAGCTATCACCATTCCTCGTTTTTCACTTGCACTTTCACTGGATGAAGATGACGAACATGAAATGCATGCACCATTGCTTCGTAGATATCAACAATCGAGCGACGATAGCAGTAGCGATAGCACCAGCAATCATCATCATCCTATTACATCCAACAACAATAATGTACAAGCTGCCAACCCATGCTCAACAACAACCTCCACCTTGTCGACGCCGGCTCGTCGACCTTTTCGTCTTATGCAATCACCTTCAGCACCCGATTTTTCGGAATCAGCATTGTTGATGGAACGTGAGAATTGTGCCAACAAGTTTGCACCTGCCAGCAACTATTATCGCTATTATCCTATGAGTTGGCGACCTTTACCAGAACATGGGGATGGTGATGTTAATGATGATCCTGAAGATAATAATCGTCATATTAGCATTAGCAGCAGCAGTACTAGTTCGAGTAGTACTAGTAGCAGCGACCAAGACCATGAGGGGTATACATGGAAAAGTTGGTTTAATCACACCCATCATCAAGCCGACAACCAACATAAACAACACATATGCACGTTTTGCTGGAATCCAATAGCGAAGAAGAGTCTCTCTACAGGAGATGCTGACGATGCAGTGGCTGCACGGCTCTTGTCATCTAGCCATAGCAGTAGTCTTGAAAGTACAACAATGGGTGTTGGTGCTTCTGGTCAAGCACAACAAGTATGGTCACCTGAAAGTTATCATAGTGCATGTTCACCTGACAAGGCACTCTTGGATGACAAGTATGGATGCAGCAATGATGAATCGTCTTCTATGGAAGAAGAAGATGTCTTTGAAACACCCACCACATCAAGTTTTGGATTTCAAACGGATACCATCTTGCGTAGTGAATCCAGTATTTCGGCGTTTCGACCCATCAGCAAGAATCTTGCACCACGTTGTAGTCCACCCTCATCATCATCATCATCATCTCCCACCGACAATTGGCGATATCGACGTCGTGAAATTTCTTCATCCATGCAAGCTGCTGATCTACCACAACAACAACGACGACCTGCTATTCCCAAAAGCCAATCTTTTCCATCCAAAGTAGCATCACTAGCATCTTCATCATCCAACAACAAGGTTCCCGATGTACCCATTATCAAGTCATCCACCACAAAGTCATCCGCCTCAGCTACTACAGTCCCAGCGACCATTATGGGTAAATCAGCGGATAAGGCCACATCGTCGACATCCTCATCCTCTAAGGAACGTAACTTTGTAATGCGATCGATTGTCAGTAAAAAGGCATCGCTTAGTAAGCTGTTCTCTGGAAGCAAGAAATAGTAATAGTTAATAGTAGTCGTGAACCCTCACCCCCCCCCCAAGATCAGATAGTTTAATACAATCATCATTTTGACGTGCATCAGCTTTCATAATTCATGCTTTGAACCAATTTCATTTACCGCAGGGGTTTCTCTCACACTCAATTCATTCACTCTCCACGTCTCTTTTTCTTTCTGGTCGACAATGGCTTCCAACTCACAAGAACATACCAACAGACTCATTCACGAAAAGAGCCCTTATTTACTGGTACGTGTCACTCGTCAATGGCCTCAATGTCAAGTGTCTAACCTCTTGACGGTTCCTCATTACACACACACACACTACGATTACTTGTAGCAACACGGTACGTGCTTTTGTCAATGGTTAAGAATGTGTGGTCAATTGACTCGATGCCTTGTTTTATTATGCTTCTTGTGTTTTATCAAGCTCATAACCCGGTAAGTTGGTTGCTGTCAGAGTAGGATGATACGGTGCATGAATTTAGGGGGGGACGCTCATTGTATCCATGTTTCATCCAAGGTTGACTGGTATCCATGGGGAGAAGAAGCTTTCCAAAAAGCACGCGATGAGAACAAGCCGATCTTTTTGAGTGTGGGATATAGTACATGCCAGTAAGTTGTTTGGGAGGTATTACAAAAGAGACATCATGATCCTTATTCCATCTTAGTTGGTGCCATGTTATGGAGCATGAATCTTTTGAAAACGATCGAGTAGCCGAGATCATGAACAAGTACTTTGTCAACATCAAAGGTAAGTAAACATATAAAAGTAATCAAAGCGATGACATTAATCCTTGTTTCTATAGTGGATCGGTGAGTGGATTGTATGATGGGCCGAGGATTTGGGGTCTTTACCAACACATCTCTACAATAGCGAAGAAAATCCAGGGGTGGATCGTTTCTATATGACATTTGTACAATTGACAACAGGTGGCGGAGGTTGGCCAATGTCAGTTTTTCTCACGCCTGATCTTCAACCATTCATGGGTGCTACCTATTTCCCTCCCGAGGACAAGTTTGGTCGACCTGGCTTCAAGACTATCTTGACACGCATTGCTCAAATTTGGGCTGCTTCTCCTGAAAAGCTGAAACAAGCGGGAAAGAGCACTGTTGCACAGCTCAAAGCTTATGTCGAGGTTGGTGATGATGATGGTTGCCTATGTTTTTATTTGGAATTCAATATGGGGTTAACACGCCATATAGTCGAAACCCCCTGGATCATCCTCGGCAAGTGCATTGACACCTTGGAGCACGGCTGAAGATACATTTGATCATTTCGAATCCAGCTTTGACGAGAAACAAGGTGGATTTGGTGGCGCGCCCAAGTTTCCAACCCCTGTGCAATTGTTATTCCTTCTTGACTACTATGGCTATCAGCATAAACCCAATGATGCAAGGAAAGCACTCGACATGGTGTTATTTACTCTTCGTGTAAGTGATTTGGAAAGCATCGTCAACCGCATACACATACTTATCATGTCATGCTTTACAGAAAATTGCTGCTGGTGGTATTCATGGTACGTAAGATTATGGCGCTCTGCTGGATCCATGATTAATCCCTGACATTATTCCTTATAGATCATGTTGGAAGTGGTTTTCATCGGTAAGGATTGGATGTAATGGTATAGTGCGTGGTTGCGCTGACAACATTACAACAGGTACAGTACGGATGATCATTGGCATGTGCCCCATTTCGAGAAGATGCTGTATGATCAAGCACAACTACTTATGGTGTATTCACGAGCGTATCAAATCACCAAGGATGAGCTTTACGCTGATGTTGTCAAGGATATTGTGCGATACGTGTCACGAGATCTTTTGCATGGTGACGGTGGATTTTACGCTGCCGAAGATGCCGATTCATTGCCTACTGCCGAAGCTACAAAGAAAAAAGGTACAAGGACAATAACGAATCATCCTCGTAAATGCTCACAATGGTTTAATTAGAGGGCGCGTTCTGTGTATGGGAGGCTGGAGAGTTGGTGGACATATTGGGTGATGACGCTGCTGCATTGTTTTCGTATCGGTATGGCGTAAAGGAACAAGGCAATGTTGATCCAGAACAAGATCCTCATAATGAACTTGAGAAAAAGGTGCGTATGATGATTATAGGATGGCGAAGTACCATGCTAACAAGCGTCCATAGAATGTCCTGTTCGAACAACACTCAATCAAGGAGACCGCCCAAAAATTCGCTGCATCTGAAGAATCAGTGTCGAGTATCTTGCAAGATTCCCTCTCCAAGCTGCTGAAATACCGCCAAACTTCTCGTCCAAAGCCCCACCTGGATGATAAGGTAAGTTGATGAGAGACAAAAGAGATCTTCAAGTAACAGCTTTACATGGATCATGTAGATTTTGACATCGTGGAATGGTGAGCAAGATATCAATCGAGCTACCAATGTAACGGACCATGCTGATGTTTTTCTTTCTTGCGACAGGATTGATGATTTCGGGATTGGCACAAGCAGCGCGCATTTTGGACGACTCATCCATGTTGGAACTTGCAACTCGAGCAGCCACCTTCATTCGCAACAATTTGTATGATGAGAGCAAAAAGACATTGCTGCGCAGCTACAGGGAAGGTCCATCATCGATCGATGGTTTCTTGGATGACTACAGGTAAGGCACAAATCCATGCGTGATCCTTTGGTGCTTCTACTCACGTGGGACGCAAAAGCTATATGATTATGGGCTTGATCGATCTCTATCAGGCGACATTTGATCAACAATGGCTCCAATGGGCATATGACTTGCAGCTGAAACAAAATGACTTGTTTTACGACAATGACAATGGTGGATTTTTCAGTGTAAAGCGAGATGACCAATCGATACTGGTGCGGCTCAAAGATGGTATGTGGTAGATCACCCACATTAGCTATTGCAAGCTGACTAAATTTTGAAAAAAATCATGCAGAGCAAGATGGAGCTGAACCATCAGCGTAAGTTTCATACCAATTGCTTCTTGAATAACGCCATTAACACGTGCATGATAGCAATGCTGTCTCTGTGGCCAATCTTTGTATACTTGGTACATTGCTACAAAATCTATCATTATCAGATATGGCACAAAAGACGATACAAGCTTTTGAATCAACATTGGCCAAACTCGCATTCAGCATGCCGTATTTCGTATCATCATTCTTGTTGGTTACCATTGGGATCAAGGAGGTATCTATATATGCACCACTTCTTATGATAATCATGCAAAGTTGCTGAGTCTCTTTATTCCTCAACATAGATCATCCTTGCTGGTGACGATAAGAATATGGAAAGGATGCATACGTTTCAACGGGCTATCAATCGTGTCTTCATTCCTAACAAGCTGGTTGTCAACGTGGTGCTTGGGAAGAGTGATGGAGTACTTCAGGAAAAGAATACTGTGATTCGGGATATTGCAAACAAAAGTGCAGACGATGTCAATGGCGTATCGGCTTTTATTTGCGAGAATTTTGCATGTGGCATGCCGATTCAAGATCTCGACAAGGTCATTAGCAATCTCACTTCTCATTACTCATAGATAGCTGACCCCTTGATGAATAAAGGAAGCAATGTTGTTCCTGTGGTGGTTCAGGCACTACATCTCCGACGTGCTTGGTATAGGTGT